CACAGCCCCGCCCACCCAGGACATGAAGTCGACACGGGGGAGACCCGGGCCCCAGATATCCAGAGGCCCCCCAGGGCACGGGAACCCCAGGAGGACCACTGCAGGGACGATTGCAGTCCCCACCGAGAAAAGGGCAGAGGAGCGCTCCGGAGGGGGGCCATCCGGCAGCCACATCACAGGAGCCCCAGGGGGCCGTGGCGACGTGGGCTCGTTCATGTACATAAAATTTCACGCTCATTGGGATTTATAAAGGGAATGTGCGTAGATCTGTGCTTACGCACAGTTTTATGCATCTGGATTTTTTCTTGCTTACACACATTACTAGTTTTGTCCGTACGCCATGTTTTAGTGTGAATTCTACGCACGTTGTTATACATGAGGCCCCAGGAGAGGACGAGCCCGGGCCGCAGAGGTCAAAGAAGAAGCAAGCTGGGACTGTGGATTCTGCTGGGAACAGCGCGGGCTTGCAGAGGCAGGTCACAAAGGGCCCGGTTCCATTGTGCAGCTCAAGCCCCCTCGACCGGGTCCCCTCGGAGAGTGCGGGCTTCATGGAGGAACTCAGCGGGGGCCTGGTCCCGCTGTGCACTTCAAGCTCACTTGACCCGGTACCTTCTGACAGTGAGGGATTGCAGGGGCAGGTTGACAAGGTAGACGCTCCGTACTTCACCTTTAGCCCCCTCATCAACGTACCTCTGGAGCGTTTACCTGCCGAAGAGATGTGTAAGTCACAAGGTATAGTCAAGCAAATATGCAATAGCTGGAAAAATGGAATAGTGGTCTGGATACTGACAGAATGTATCTGTGTTCTCTACATGTCCATCCACACTCTTCAGTCGTCACTTTGTCCTCGGACATAAACGATCCATCCAGTCCGTCTGGGGACGAAGATGCCGAGGTAAGTCATGCCAGTATGCCGTCTTGGCAATTTGAGGCATTGGAATGGCTTGCCTGACGTTTGCGCAAATACAAAACCGAAAACCCACATTTTTTTTTTTCTCATCACAGCTCCCCAGTCCCCTACCGAAGACGGTTGTCCGGCTGGCTGGTACAGAGGTGAGGTTTTGTCTCATTTTTAAAGACGGGTATGTCTATGTGTTTGTGTCTGTTTTTGTGAGAGGGCATATACATGTCTGTGGTGGCGTTAAAGACATGCTGGTTCTTGTTTGCCCCTGAAATATTTCAGAGACCGACGTATCGCAGGAAGCTGCTGTACACTGATCATTTCAGGGAAAAGGTCAAGAGGTCTTTCTCGGACCATCTTGACTCGCCCATAAGCACTAAGACTGTAAGTATCCTTTCAGTCAATGTCATAGGGTTGTTGCAAAATTAGAAACACAAGCACAATGGTATATTCACTTTTCAGATCAATGAAGTACTGTATAACCATCCTGAGCTCCTGGCGGAGTGTAAAGACATGGCCCTGACGATTGACAACATCAGGGCGCTCCTGAAACAAATGCAAAGGTAAGTTATATCAACTGAACATTGGTAAAATTGCTTTGCAGTCACCGTCATTTCAACGTCGCGGCTGTTTTTTCTGATCACCCGTATTTGTTCTTTGTCTCTTAACAGATCCACTGACCAGGAGGTCTGAATGTGGATGCAGTCGGCAGTTTTCATCGCATTTTCAGTTTTATCTTTTCATTTGTTAGGCTAATAAATGCCTGTTGTTAATTGCAATGAGTGTCCATCAGTCCTTTTTGTCATCACTGTGCATGGCTCATGGTAGAAATGTCTACTGACGCTGCATGCCGTCAGCCTATTAGAAGTGTATCTACGTCACACGTGTATGTATTACGCATTCCCTAGGTCTCGTTTCTAAAGGCACATTCAGCAAAAATGACTCCGGGATTACGGATCACATATAAATAAGCTGCATTCCATACATATGGGTAACGCGGTCTAGTACAATTTTTTTTTTGCGCAGGCGCGAGCTTTGCAGCAGCATGTTTACTACTGCTCCGTGTCATGTACTGTATTTTGTGTATTTTTAAAGTGTCTTCTCTATTTTAAACTTTATTATTTTGCACGTTGTGTCAATAAGTTGTGCCCTCTCTAATCATGAGGTTTGAGAGAGTTATTACCATGTTCCTAATGTTTTCGGCACTTTGTTTGAACTACCCGGGCGCTGTGAATGCTAACGCAGCTACAAGCGGCGACCGGCTCTTTGTTTACACTCGCGACAAACTGATCTCACTGAGGCAGGACGCCACAGTGCACAGAGGGATCATCGCAGACATTCCTTCGGATATAAGGAGAAAAACAAAAAGAGGATGCCGAGGAGGAGCAAAAGGTCGAGCAAAAAGATCAGCGAAGAATGGAAAACAGTCCGGTAAGCTGGAGAGGAGGCGACGATANGCAACGTGTAAACATTTTTCTGATCAATGTATCTTCCACATGTTTAGCTTGCATTTAAGACATTAAATATGCCAGTGTCTCGTGCTTATCCTCAATCGTTATGGTGTTTTCGTGTATTCAAAGGTGTCCTTTTATCATTTTATGTCTAATTTATTGCTTTGAATTCATATAGATTTCTAGTATCTTTTGTTGTGCAAAAGAAAAAATAAATCCATAGGGATGCCGGGTTTCCTAACGCATGTATAATGCATAGCAGTTGTTAACTAGTGTGTAATATAAAGCACTTTGAGCTGCATCTAAATGCATAAAAATGTATTAATTCTATGAGTACTCTGAATGTAAAGTGAAAACAAAAATAATAATCATCACTGTCAGTATCATTAGTCTCATCGCTGTTGTCGATTGATTAAATGATCTAGCCGTGTATCAGAAAACTGTCTTCTAATGTGCGTTGTAGTGACCCCGTTGTGAAAAATGGCATTTACAATGCACGTAATGGATATTAATTTAATGTTACACCATTTACCAAGGACAGGTTAGAGTCATGCAATCAATGTTATTGTATTCACAAAAGTTTAATGTTTTACCTTTCTTTGGCAGGGATAGCACCCAGAATGTCACCGACAAAACAGCTGTGCCCGTTCTGCCGGGTGTCCTACATGAATCTATGCTTGCACTTAACACATGTGCACAAGTTGACGGACCCAAAGGAGCGAAAGCTCCTCAACGCCATTACCTCAAAGCGTTATTCTGGGCCAGTAGATTGCCCTGTGCGTGGCTGCACAGCCTCCAGCCTGGTTCGTTTGGATCGACACTTGAAGATTTGCCACAAAATTGAAGGGCAGGAGCTCAAGAAGCTGGTATTAAACTAAGTTGAATTAAAATTGAATTTTGTAGCAGTGGTGTATCTTCACAAAATTGCATTGCCTAAAAGCAGTTCACATCTGTCCACGTAACCCAGGTGAGCTCAGCAAAGCAGACTGCGGCCAAGGCAGCTTTACAAAATTACAAACAGGCTACCAAGGAGAAGGACGAGGAGGTGCAGACACTGAAGAGGCGCCTGGATGAGCTGGAGAAGCTCGTACGGCCACCGGCTCAGGCCGAGGACAACACCGCTTCAGTAGCGGCAGCCAAACCGGGCCGTGCCACACAGCTGTTCTTCACGGGTAAGTGGAATGGTAGTTTTAATATTATTAAATGAAGCACAATGCCTTTCTGTCATCTTGATTGTCTTGTCTTTCGTAGAGGAAGTCCTGCCTCAATATAAGGCCACCCTGTTCCGAGTCGGGGCATCCTCTAAAGTCATTGAAAATTATAATTACGAGTTAAAAAATGTAGAAAAATTTGTCCGATTCATGTGGGGCAATCAGGATGAGCCGCCACCGGCCCATCTAAAGTACATTGCTGACCCCTCCCTAATTAACAATTGGATGGAGCATCTAAATTCAAAATTCAAAGTAACCACCATCAAAAACCATTTATTGGCAATCATAAAATTTTCCCAGTTCCTAGTCGACAACAGTCTGCCCTGTGTCCGACTAAGCCAGAAAAGGCTGACCGGCATCATCCGGCACCTGAAATGCCAGGTACAGCTGGTTACCAAAAAAATTGTCGGACACAGGCAGACTGTGAAAGACAAAAAGACACAGAGGATGCCCCAACGAGGAGACCTAGCAGCTCTGCTCACGGAGCTGCGTGGCAAGATTCCCGACTGCCTAGGTAAGTCGATACCCGTCAAATCTACACAATTCAGTTTGATTTGTTTTTGCATAGAGCCTTTCACGACAGTTATCCCGAAGAGCTTTACATGGATTTGTTGAGATACATCGCAACATCATTAGAGAGAGTAATACAGAATGGGGAAAGTGCACCGGTCATGTTTCCGAGGGCCATGATCACGTTTCGCTTTTTTCTTGAAGATGACCTGGCCGAATCGCCACTAGACATCGCCATTAGAAACAGCTGCATCGGATGCCTGGTGACGTTGCTATTTTCCATCAGCGGGCACCGCAGCAGTGTCATAATAAATATGACACTCGAGGAATACAACGCGGCCCACCCAGAAGGGGACTTCATGGTCATCAGTGTGAGCATCCGGAAACCGTGTTGACGTGATATCTTTGAATCCAGTAAAACGTGTGATGGAACTCATATGTTTGTCACACATAGTCTGATGTTCTACACCGTCTCCGGTAACCCGTGTACTCATCTTCACAGGTTGCCAATCACAAAACATCTGGCACCTTTGGAAGGGCAAAAATCGCCCTCACTGAAAGGGAGCATTCCTGGCTGCAAAGGTTTGCTCAGCTGAGGCCACGTCTGCCCGGCTTCTGCCACCAGCCAGCAACATTTTTCTTTGCGGCGTCCGGGCAGCCCTTCCGCAAAGTTAATAAAGTGGTGACACAGACCTGCCTCGCATGCGGCCTGCCACGGGGGTTCTCCGTATCGGAGATCCGCACGGGTGTGTCGACCTGCGTAAGTTGTGATTCGGGACGATGCCAAAGTCCGTAGCGCCTGATGATTTGTCGCTGGTACGCTAATCGATTTCTCTGTCCCCATTTACAGATCCAGCGCAACCTCCCGGAGAAGCAGCGTCAGCTGGTGGCCCGACTGATGTGCCACAGCACACAGACTGCTGACCGGTTTTATGTCGCGGAGCCTGACGGTGCTGATGCCTGCAGTGGTCGGGGCCTCCTGCAGACAGCCTTGGGCATGAGCAAGGCTCCGTGCCGTAAAACCGGTCAGCAGTCTCAGTCAGAGGAGGAAGTGGTCCACTCGCCGTGGAAGCGGCTTAGGTTGACCATCTCTTCAACATCAGAGGAGGACGAGCCCAGGCCGCAGAAGATAAAGAAGAAGAAAGCTGGGAATGCGGGCCTGCAGATGCAGGTCACAAAGGACCCCGTTCCATTGTGCAGCTCAAGCCCCCTCGACCTGGTCCCCTCGGAGAGTGCGGGCCTCGTGGAGGAGCTCAGCGGGGGCCTGGTCCCGCTGTGCACTTCCAGCTCACTTGACCCGGTACCATTGGCTAGTGCGGGATTGCAGGGGCAGGTCGGCAAGGTAGACTCTCCGCCCTTCACCTTTAGCCCCCTCAGCCACGTACCTCTGGAGCGCTTACCTGCCGAAGAGATGTGTAAGTCACAAGGTATAGTCAAGCAAATATGCAATAGCTGGAAAAATGGAATAGTGGTCTGGATACTGACAGAATGTATCTGTGTTGTTCTCTACATGTCCATCCACACTCTTCAGTCGTCACTTTGTCCTCGGACCTAAACGACCCATCCAGTCCGTCTGGGGACGAAGATGCCGAGGTAAGTCATGCCAGTATGCCGTCTTGGCAATTTGAGGCATTGGAATGGCTTGCCTGACCTTTGCGCAAATACAAAACCGAAAACCCACCTTTTTTTTTTTTCTCATCACAGCTCCCAAGTCCCCTACCAAAGACGGTTGTCCGGCCGGCTGGTACAGAGGTGAGGTTTTGTCTCATTTTTAAAGACGGGTGTGTCTGTGTGTTTGTATCTGTTTTTGTGAGAGGGCATATACATGTCTGTGGTGGCGTTAAAGACATGCTGGTTCTTGTTTGCCCCTGAAATATTTCAGAGACCGACGTATCGTAGGAAGCTGCTGTACACTGATCATTTCAGGGAGAAGGTCAAGAGGTCTTTCTCGGACCATCTCGACTCGCCCATAAGCACTAAGACTGTAAGTATCCTTTCAGTCAATGTCATAGGTTGTTGCAAAATTAGAAACACAAGCACAATGTTATATTCACTTTTCAGATCAATGAAGTACTGTATAACCGTCCTGAGCTCCTGGCGGAGTGTAAAGACATGGCCCTGACGATTGACAACATCAGGGCACTCCTGAAACAAATGCAAAGGTAAGTTATATCAACTGAACATTGGTAAAATTGCTTTGCAGTCACCGTCATTTCAACGTCGCGGCTGTTTTTTCTGATCACCCGTATTTGTTCTTTGTCTCTTAACAGATCCACTGACCAGGTCTGAATGTGGATGCAGTCGGCAGTTTTTCATCGCATTTTGAGTTTTATCTTTTCAATTGTTAGGCTAATAAATGCCTGTTGTTAATTGCAATGAGTGTCCATCAGTCCTTTTTGTCATCACTGTGCACGGCTCATGGTAGAAATGTCTACTGACGCTGCATGCCGTCAGCCTATCAGAAGTGTATCTACGTCACACGCGTATGTATTACGCATTCCCTAGGTCTCGTTTCTAAAGGCACATTCAGCAAAAATGACTCCGGGATTACGGATCACATATAAATAAGCCGCATTCCATACATATGGGTAACGCGGTCCCTATGGTTCCTCGCTGAAGCTGCATCTGCTACGTATGGGTAACGTCTTACTTGGGTTTCATCGCTGAGGCCGCATCTCCTATCTACGGATGACGGATTCTCTGCTGCTCGGTGCTGAGGCCGCATCTCCTACATATGGGTGACGGATGCCCCACTGTTTGTTGCCGAGGCCGCATCCCATAGATATGGGGAACATAAGCCCTACGTGTTGCTGCGAAGGCCACATACCCTACATAGACATGAGGTATTACCTAAGGTTCATTGCTGAGGCTGCATCTCCTACATACAGATGATGGATTGCCTACTGTTTGCTGCTGAGGCCGCATGTCATAATTAAGGATAACGTGCCCCCTACTGTTGATTGTTGAGGCTGCATCTTCTACATACAGATGACGGAACCCCTACTGTTCATTGCTGAGGCTGCATCCCCTACATAGACATAAGGGATTCCCTACTGCTTGTCGCTGAGGCCGCATCCCCTACATACAGATGACGGATCCCCTACTGCTTGTCGCTGAGGCCACATCCCCTACATAGGCGTGAGGTATTACCTAAGGTTCATTGCTGAGGCCGCATCTCCTACATACAGATGATGGATCACCTACTGTTTGTTGCTGAGGCCGCATGTCATAATTAAGGATAACGTGCCCCCTACTGTTGATTGTTGAGGCTGCATCTTCTACATACAGATGACGGAACCCCTACTGTTCATTGCTGAGGCTGCATCCCCTACATAGACATAAGGTATTCCCTACCGCTTGTCGCTGAGGCCACATCCCCTACATA